GGGCTCCCGCTTCCTCTTCCGCTGCTGGCCCGGCCCACGCTCCTGGCCACAGGCGCACCGGGGCCCTGCCCCTGGCAGGCTGGACGGGGGGCTCAGGCCCACCTGGGCAGAGGGAGTTGGGGTCAGGCGTGGCCCCTCCTCGGGCACCTGCCGGCGAGTCCCGCCAGGGCCTCACCTCATTGTCCGAAGTGTCCAAGTCCAGCCGCAGGCCGTGGGCTGCTCGGGGCTCTGCGGGGCGCGGTGCAGGTCAGGCTGGCAGCGCCCCCTCCGGCGGCTGGGGCAGCCTCCGCTGGTGCCACTGACACCCAGCTGCCCCACACCCCGGGGACACCCCCTCCCGTCCTCACCTGGGGGGCTGTCAGCCTGGGGGCCCTGGGGGCCCAGGTACGGTCTTGGCCTCCCTCTGGCTTCGCCTGGGGTCCGGCCCGGAGAGGGCAGGCTGGGCCGGCGCCCCTGGGAGGAGCCGAGGGGCTGAGCAGGGGCCGGCGGCCGGTCTGCCCCCGGCCACCCCGCTGCCTGCCCAGCGTCTGCTTCCCTGCGAGGCTGCAGGCCTCTCTCCTAAGCCGGGCTTGGTGGCAGAGGGCAGCACCCCGCTGGCCCTCACCTTGACCGCGGGGGGCTCCTCTGGCTCCGGTGTCCTGGCTCCCTGGATGCCCCCACTGAGCGCCCAGGGGCTGCGAGGCAGGGCCGGGGGCTCGGCCCCCAGGAGCGGCCTGGGGCTGGGGGCGTGGGCTGCAGGGGGGCTCCGCATCCCCGGCTGGACGGCGGGCGTGGGGGGGCCCCGGCCCCGCGCCCTCTCCGAGAGGTCCAGGGGCTTGTCTGTGTCCTCCTCGCCCCCAGGGCTGCTCAGGCCCGTCCTAGCTGCGGGCCCCTCTGGGCCCTCTGAGTCGGGGCCAGTGGGTGGAGAGGGGGGCGCCTCCCCCGGCATGGGCTGGCCCCTCGGCCCGGTGCCGCCCGGCCACGCCCGCAGCTGCCGGGCCAGGAGCAGGGGCAGCGCCCCCTCCTGCTGGTCCCGCCTGGCCACCGGGAGCCCGGGCAGGCCCACAGGCTCCTCCCAGGCCTCCGTCTCCCTGGCCTTCGGGCCCAGGGCCTGGGGGTCGCCGGGGGCTGAGGCTGGGGCCCGGGGGCTGCTGTGGGGGCTCCGAAGGGTCAGGGCCAGGTGGAGACTCGGGAGGCCGAGGTGGTCGGGGTGGCCGGCCCGGGCCGAGTGCTTCAGGGGTTCCAGGGCCCCCGTGGGGGACCGGGCGGCCCGCAGGAGGCTGTGGGGAAGCTCTCGTGAGCCCATTTCCCAGGGGAGGACACAGGGCCTGGGCTCAGGTGTCGGGG